ACATTATCAGTGATATTAATTATCTTGAGATTCCTTTCACAAGTGTGATGCTTCACACAGTAGCGTACAATTTTGTGTTTCAAAGAAGGGATTTTTCCTCTCATACAGGCAATACAGGCAGCCATCTCCCAAGCCTTCAAGACACCTGAAGTGATTCAGATGTTTGCGAAGAAGCAACCTGATCAGCTGCGTGAAAAGCTGTTCCAGATTGAGAGAGACCAGAAAATTGGAAAGCTAACCATGGATTCTTATACACAACAAAAGGTTATAAAACTTATTGTAATTTTATATTATTTCTTTGTAGTTCTCATTTTGTGGTAGATAATAGTATCATTAATTTATAAATGTTGTAAGTATACACTATGTGTCTTCAGGTGTCTCAATGAGTACAGTATGATATATTTCCATAGCTCGAGATCCTGAGTGCATTGCAAAAACTGGGAGAAACACTGGAGGAAGGAGAACAAAGCTTCTTAGACGCCCATGCCTCATCACTCATGAAAAACTTTGATCAAGTCACTGATGATGAAGGTAACAATTCATCCTGTTTCAGCTAGCTTATGCATGATTCAACTTTGAAATCATCATGGATATACAGAATGATGATTTTATTATTTTGATATGGATGTTTTTCCCTAGATAAGTCAAGAATTGATAGAGAATATTCATCACTATTCTTTTGATATTTAGCACTAGTATAACTTCAACACGTTTTGGTTCCACAGGGTCAACTCAGAAGGTCCTTGAAATGGCTCGACAGGGACTGCAATAGACTCAGATACAAGGTTTAGCATTACTTACGATTTGCCAATAGATGAAACGACTGTACTTTTCTTCCTACACTAATGAATGTTTTTCCTGCAATTCCTATCTATTTCTATGACAGGAAAATTTTATACCTAAGTTATTGTAGATTTCTTACCAAGAGTAGCAAGATTACTAAGGAGAAAGAGTATGTCCAAAAAGGAGAGGAATATTGTTCCATTACAAAGCAGTTTGTATGCATCCACTTTCAGCGTTCAGATTTTACGTGCCTTTCAGGAAATAACAGGGAACATGATTTAAGTATAAGTAGGTAGCTTTGTGTCTCAGGATGTTTGTGGAATTTTGAAGAATTACAAATGATTTAGATATAGGATTATTCTCTTGTATGGGCACACTCTTGTATAAGATATATAATTTTTATAATCCATTTTTTTATGCATCTTTTTGGCCATTATTCATAGCAGTATTTTTTATTAGTCAGATTCAATGGGTGATATGACTGTATAGTATATTGATTATATTTTATATTTTACAGTAGATAATGCTGCAAGTCAACTGATTGATCTTCCATACTCAGATACATGGGGTTTGTGTAATTTTTTAGTGTTTTAAACAGTAGATGGTAATGATTTTATTTTACTTGTTGCATTCAGTGATGGTGAAGCAGTTGATTCATATTATGCTAACATTTTACATTTTCTTTTAATATGGGTGTGTGGAAAATAAGAATCATTGTCTGTCTAGAAAAAGAGATTTTTTTTTTATTATAATTACAATTATTTGGCAATTGTCTTTCTCTCTTCTGTATTTTACTAACCTTAGAACAAGCACAGAAGAATGTATTTTTGTACCAATTATTAGTATAGGTTTCGGCTGTGACAGCAAGTGTAGGACAGCTAGTCGTGTGAGGTGTAAAATATAAACTGTTCATTGTGACATCTGTAGGAAAGGAATGAATGTGAACTGATTATTTTACAATGCATAATATGTAAGTAATATTTTGATATTACATAAAGTGATTGATTCTAAGCATATTGTGATTTTATTACACATGGCTGTTGAGTCATCAAACTCGGAATCTTGGACCTAAAGCAGTAGAAATGCAGACAACCTATACTCCTCCTCTTCTCCTTCTTTTTATTCTTTTGCTTTTTCCCCTCTTTTTCTCTTCTCTTCTCTTCTCTTCTTTTCTTCCTTTTCTTCTTTCTTCGAGGTAAAGATGCAGTTGACAAGGTTATAAAGATAGATGTCAGAAAAATAGATTGGGGATGTTAAGTATTGGATAGTTAACGAGTTAATTTTGATAATTAAGTGAAATACAACAATGTTATTCAGATAAGTTGCTATCACCTAAGCATCACCAAACATTCAAGTAAAAAAGAAAGTGGAGTAATTTAACATTCCAGGTTGGCACTCAAATGTATGTCTTGGATCTACCTGCTTCTTCTCTCTCTCATTTAATCAGATGATTTTGTATTTTATATGAGCCAGTATAACATTAGAAAATGTGACAAAAATGAATAATATACATGAAAATGGAATGTTGTACCAGCAAAGCATTAGTGGAAAAACATGAAAAAGTATCATATTTTATTACTGTTCAAAGAAGCAAGGCTTATAAAAAAAAAATGTGAAATTGACCTACTAAGCTTTGCATACTACCATAGCAATTCATATAACATACTGTATGTGCAATATGTTGTTTTTTAATGAAGTTGAGTCTACAAGATTGCTTGATGCATAAAAGTTGCATTCATCTTGGTACTCTTATTTACCAATCGGCTTTGATGGATACATCATATCCTAACTCTCTGTCCGTGACTATCTGCTCAAGACCCACTTTCAGGTGTAAGGAACTCATGGTTAGTGATTATCAGTTACAGAAGTAATGGTGTTTCACATCTATGGTGTTTTTGGTAAGTTGGGTGTGCTCTACCTGTGATTAGTGTTCGTGGTAATGTAAGTTGGGTGTCCTGTACCTGTGGTTAGTGGTTTTGGTAATGTAAATTGGGTGTGCTATACCTGTGGTTAGTGGTTTTGGTAATGTAAGTTGGGTGTGCTATACCCATGATTAGTGATGGTGGTAATATTCTGCAGGTGTGATGCACTGATGGTAATGGTATAAGGTGGTATTAGCATTAGTATGACCTGTACCTAGACTTGATTCATTTTTCTTTCAAATAATATTAGAAAAATGGCTCAACAGAAGAAAAGCATCCCTGAACTAAATGTGGAAGAAATTTTGTTTGGTGAAAGCTCTGATGGTGAGGATCATATTGAGTGTGAGGAATTGTACGATCAGGAAAACACACACACATATATACACATCCACACACAATCACACACACCCACACACACACATACAGACACACACTCATCCAGATGCAAATTCGGTCATACACACTTACACATACCTACACACATGCACGCACACACATATATACATAAATGTGTGTATATATATATACATACATATATATAAACAGATATATATAGAGAGAGAGAGACAGTTACACACATACAGACATACACACACATACACCCAAGCATGCACTCACATATACAGACATGTGCCCACATGATTGAGTATTTTTATTGGTGTATAATGAATACAACATGCATATCATTCATATTTAGGTGTAATTATGAAATTTTAAGAATTCTTTTAAATAGAAAGAAAGAAAAAATAAGTAAATAAAGGCAATTTTTTAAATTGAACTCCTTATAGTAGATAGCTCTGCTTAAAGATTGATCACCGACTCAGGATATAGCCAAATGACAGAAAGAAAATAAAAGTTGACCTTATCAAAGCCAAGGGATAACTGTATTTTAGGTGATATTTTTCAAGCAGTGGTATATTTTCTTTGGTTTTCATTGCCCGTACCTGTACATGATTTTGTCTTTCATTAGATAAATTAAAGAAATAAGTAAGTAATACTGACAAGAAAATAAATGTCCTAGACATCAAAGGCATATAGGACTATGGTATTGTATTGTGTTGGGAGGGTTTTTAAAGTTCTTTATTAGAGTTAAAATGTTAAGTTTTGACAGTCATTTATTGTATGATAGTATAGTATTTAAAGGAGTAGGAGGAGAGGGTAGATGGGGGTAGGATAGGTATTGATGAAAAGAGGAAGGGTTAAGGACGATGGATGGTTAGATCAAATGAAGGATATTTATGCATTTGAGGAGAGAGAATAAATTATCAATAGAAAAGGTGGGGGATTCTGTAAGGATGTCTGACAGGTTGGATAAATTAAAGAAAGCCCAGTTACTTCAGACAAATTAAAAGGACTGGCATTTTCTTTAATTTTTTATTAAATTTTAATATTTGGGTTTGATATACCCATGGTTGGTGGTGGCATGATATTTTTTGAGGGGATTAGTGCTCTAGACTTGATGTGTATGGGGATCTTGGCTAATTTTTCAAAATATAGATATGCTATTTTTTATGAGAAGGGAATTTTATCACTTCATGTTTTTTTGGCCTTATCACAGTTATGCTGTTTGCCGAACTTGTATCATTGTCCTGTACAAATTTTCACCAGACCATGGCACCTTAATCTTGTAATTGAATTGGCTTTCCCTTATATGCACAGTATTTTAAATCAAAACTGCAAATAGCATTACGTACTTTTTATTCATTATCTATAAACTAGAATAAGTTTTGAATCTTTAATATATTTTCTATTTCCTGCTTTGTGTGTGATATTTGTGACATGATATGCATAGGAACAGAAAAAATACAGACTATCAAGTTATTTCTTGTTAAAAAGCATTTCTGTTGTCACATACACCCAATCCCTTGCTTCTTCTTGTGCAGGAGCTTATAGGAGATGGAGACAGACCCAAAGGTAGGGGATCACCCCTACCTTGGACATCAGCCCTTACCTTAACTTATTTTGCATGGTCTTTTCTTTTGTCTTTTTCTTTTGTCCACATCCTAGTTTGAAGTGTTGTGCTGAAAGGATGTGCCAGTCCTGAATAGCCTTCATACTGTTTGCTTTTCCTTCTTTACCCTTATTATTACCATGCTAACCTACAGCGTTCTACAACCACTGACATCTAACTCATTTTTGGCCTTTTTGCCAAACATTTGTTTTGGCCATGAACATTCTGGGAATCCACAAATTTCACCTTATGTACAAGACTCTCTCTATTACTACATTTTGAATATGCCGCTAAAGACAGTTGTTGACGCAGCAATTTGTCATGGCCTTTGTGTCTCTCATGGTAAAATATCATCAGTTATCAATTTATTGCTTAAGAAAAAATGTAAAAGTTGGAAAGTTTATTTACTTATAGCAGAAGTCAACATTCCTTGTCTGTGATGAAAGAGTAAACATTTTCCTTAAGAGGAAGTGAGAGTTGTGCTGAAGTTTGCCTGAATTATCTATCCATTTGACTATATACATAACCTAAACCTGAAAACTGTTTTCATTTTCAAACAGCCTAGATTCAGCCATGCAACATTAACATGTAATTTAAAGTAAATGTACTTTTTTTTCAAAGTTTGAGCTAAAAAGGTCAGCTAAAAATAATCTCAAGAATATAATCTCCCAACAGTACCCTCCTTTTTACTTTAGATTATTGGCAATTAACTAATTTTCTCAAAGTACCAACATAAAATAATGTAAAACAGTAGTCATCCTAATAAATATCAAACACTTTAATGTGAATAGGTAGATATAAACAAATGTCAATCTGGGAGATAAGCATGTAACCATGGTAGTTTTTAATCCATTCTGGTGGTAGTTTGGTTTATTGGGTTGGAATTTTAGGTCTTATTAAATGAAACACACCACTCAAATTGCTTTTCATTTTATTGTTAAAATTTTTATAAATACTCTGCTTTTTTTTCTTTTTGCTTCCTTTCTACATCCAATCTGGTGATAACACTGAAAATAATATCTGTAAACTGCTTTATTCAATATACCAACACAACATGAACTGCATTTTTCCATAGATCCTTACCCTATTTTTGCATCACAAATGCACACACAAACACACAGACACACTCACACACACACACACTACCAACTTCATAATGCTTAAATACTATATCAGACAATTTTTACAAATGATTCATAAAATCCTCTGATATAGTTAAAAGCATTACATATAATATATTTGTACAGTAAATTTTCTTTTCTCACATGCCTTTCACCAATAACGTATACACATATGTGACATACAAATACATATAAAGGAAAATACAAAAATCTCTACAAATAATACAAATTCTCATTCTTTATACACACACAGACAAACACTTGTGAAATGTTCTAGTAAAGTTTACCTTCCCAGTGGAATCACTGTTTTGCATAATGCTGTCTGGTAATGGCAAATGGCTCGTCAGATGCTGCAAGACCTCTAATACTCAATATATAAATTTAACTATGAGACATCTATGGCAAGCAATCTGAACAAGACATCAGGCATTACTTTGCATAAAGAAAAAAGAAGAAAAAAAAAAAAAAGAAAATGGAAAAAAAAGGAAAAGTTACACATTCATGAAAGAAAATTTGTACTTCAGTGGCACCACACTTCCTCGATCGGACCCAGAAACAAAGATATGCAAAACACAATGATAGCCACAGGAAGAAAATAAAACCAGACATAAAAATAAAAATGAAAAATAAAAAAAACATTCCTAGCTCTTTTCCTGAAATCTCATTTAGAATTCTCATTAATCAAGGACTACAAAAATCTGAATTTGGAAATTTAATGCAATTCTTGTGAAAGTGAATATGAGGAGGTGAAAATGTGAGGGGGTGGGGGGATGGTTAAGACATCGTAACATCAGAACTAAAATATAACCATATACACATTAGTCTTTTTTTGCTATTGTGGTAAGTATATTCAACTCTTTAGCAAGTAAAATGATAAGTAATAGCACATCTGCTTTACAACCACCAGGCTGCACGACTAAGGGGGCAGTTCATGCCACCATAACACATTGGGAATATTCGAAACCAAGACAAGACCGAAATGGTTACTTCTGTTTCACATCTAATTAAACCTTTCACACAAATTTTCTTCCAAGTGGAGCGACCTCAAACATAAGACCTCTTCTACTCTTTAAAAAAGTATAACCATATCTTGTGAACCAACCTTTTTGAGACCCTTCATGTACAAAATCTGAATCTAGCTATGGGCAGAACAGGTTTTAAAAATCACAATGATAATACAAGATAATATTGGTTTTTATATACATATAAAAATGGGTTGTCCCAGAAAAAAAAAAAGAAAAAAGTTTAGTTTAAAGTTCTCAAAACAATAGAACTGATGATGCCCTTCACTTGTAAATAATATACCTTAAAGGCAGGAGTCAACTTTGACCTGTACTACAGGAATCAAGCAGAGCAATGCAAGGCTAAATATTCTGCATTACTTGCTTCTCCAACAAAAAGAGTAACTTTTAAAACAAAATACCCAAATTTTGACAATGAATACTACTTTGTTTTTGTATGATCATTACTTTTCCTTCACAAGAAAAAGTGTTGTGTGATTATTACTGTTATTGTAATCATTTTCTTAATAATCATCCATTTTCAACAAAGTTATTATATATCATTTTTGTAATTTTGAATATTTCCCCCATGAAAGACATTCCCCGGCAATATTACCCCTTAAAGGTACTGCGACCAGGATTTGGATCCAGGACTCAGCATGAGGTAATCCAATTTCAATTTGGTATACCAACAATACATATATAAAATATTATACAATAAATAAAAGATTACAACAGTAATAATAACCATTCTTTTGCATACACCTATGTAAATCTATCATTTCCCAATCAGTATCTTTGTATATATATATGTATAAATACATACATAACTAAATATGCACACATGTATCTTTATATATATAAACAGTGTTACTAAAGGTTTTGAAATTGAGTAATTTCTGCCCAATGTTATAAAAATTCTGCCATGAACCTAGATAACCATAAATCACAAATATCATTTCTGTTAATATTTCTGTAAATATTTTGATTAGTTTAATCCTAAGTAAGGTGTGTTCTTGCCCACTAACAAGAACCCTAAGTTCCAGTGCTGATGTATAATCTACGTCCACACACATATCAACCGATATGTTACCATGTCCAAAAGTCCTTTTTCTTGGCTAATTCTGCAGTCAACCAGGTGCTGATATATGTACAGTTGAAACTTTCCCTTGTCCTAGGCACAGTGAAATAGCCTCTTTGGTCCTCCTTAAACGTACAGTAAACACACACACACACATCTCACCAAATGAAGGGTGTATTTATAAGGATGCATTTTCAAATAATGCACCTCTGCTGATGAACATTTCTGTGAAGGGACCCTCTTGATGCAGTTCTACTGCCTGTAGCTTCTTCAACACCAACATCGTGTAGAACTTCTGTGCCACCTAATTGGAATAAATTTAACTATCAATACAACTTCAAAAAAAAAAAAAAAAAAAAAAAAAAAAAAAAAAAAAAAAAAATCTTCATATACAGTTCCAGTAAAATTCAGTAAATTTGTGACACATTATAAAAATACAAAATATGAAAGAATTACATTTTTTAAATGCATAAACTCAAAGGAAAAGTAATTGTGAAGTAATATTACCTGCTTTCTGTTGTTCTGGTGAACCATGTCTGAGAACAATATGTTGTTGTTTCTTAGCCTCCTCTTAATGGAGTGGAACATGTGTCCAGCACGCTTGTTGACCACACGTTCTTCAAATTGTTCATAAGTTTCATCGTCTGCTTGTTCCTCCTATGGAAAAAAGTTATTCATTGAGTTCCATAAATGTAACACTGAACACAGGTAGGAAAGAACTGTGAACTGATTACTACTGCAAATGCAGTAATTTTACATCAAAACAGTTCACTTCTCAACTGGAATTTATAACAAGATTCTGTTCCCTATATATTCACTATGCATTATTCAGTTCTCTTGCAATGGTAAGAATAATCAACTTTTTACCTTTATGCAATGAAGTATACATGTATGTAAACATGTATACATACATATATATAAATAAATACTTTTCTTTTTTTTTATTAAAAAAAAGAAAATCGGATACCAAAATTAATCTTTTGTGATCTATAGTCACAATGTTGAATATCTATTGACAAAATAACAGCAAATACTTTTAAATAATAGAAAAATAAACAAATAATAAAATTAATAAAAATACCAGAAATAATACAAGCAAGACAAACAATAATATTCTTTGTGTAAAACAACATGTGGATGGTGAATAACACATAAAACCATTCAAACAAGTGTATTGCTCTTTTGTGTCTCAAATATCTAATTGCAATAATAAAAATCAAAATAACTTGTTTAATGATGAACTGATTCACTATGAAAGTATTCACCAAATACCAAATATTGGTCTCAATGAGCTGATATACCACAAGATATACATGGTCCACAATAAAGATATACACTTATACTCAAATCAATTATTTGTCATATCACTTTAATTCTCCATTTTCTATTTTTTTTCTTCCAAGTAAAACCTTTACAGGACCTGTACTGTTGGTATATCTATAGGCAGCGGATATCTAAAGGCAATACTTTGATGTATCATAAATCAGAATTCCCATGAATAAAAGACTGGCTTAGTGAATACCTCTATAGATTGTGGAGAAGTTATATTCTATTCTGCAAACCTACCTTCACACACTATTGTAAGCAATAACAGTAAGAGATTTGAAGTAGATGATTTTGTTCAAATCACTTTGACTATCTAAAGCTATGTATTCAGAATATCCTTTCAATATCACTGCTTTGATGAACCACCTAGCCTTATCAAGGAACAATTAATAAAAACAACGATGTATAAATAACAAAGTAAATCAAACGAACCTCCTCCTCATGGGCCTCGTCCTGTCTGAATGGCGTAGTAGGGGTGTTTGCCCGTTCTGAATAATTCGATCTTGGTCCACCATCTGACAACCCTCCTGGAGTGTTGGCTGGGGGGTGAGACTCCTCGTAACCATGATTTTCCAGCTGAGGCTGATTCTGAGAGAGAGATTTTGAGATTAGTTACAACAAAAGTGGAAAAGCATAAGTTATTGATGTAGTGTGATTGTAAATGTTTGTTAGGAAATGATATCAAAAGCTACATAATTTGATAAGGTTTGTTTGTAAAAAAAAAAAAAAAAACAAACATCAGAATTAAACCCCCTTCAACAATAAACAAAAAACTTTAAAATCCTAAAATACAGGAACCTAGTGCTTAAATCAAGACAACAAATTTTCTGAATCAGCTACGTAAGGGTGTAAAGGTACACTGGTTGTTCCGTGTGATTTGTTCCTACCTCGTCGAATCCCAAGTTCTCCAACTCCATGTGCCTCGGATCAATCTGGTATGGTTTGAGTGTAAGCGTTTATACCCGAGACATTAGCCTATCATGAGTCTGGAAAAATGAAGCATTATAAATGAAATAAGCCATAAGACATAAGGGGTATTATTAAGCAAAAAAAGTCTAAGTACCTGTTATTAGAAATCTTCACTTTTACGGGCTTCGTCTACCAGCTTTAAGTCAGTAGTTTAGTCCGAACAGAGAATTAATATCAAAAATGGAGACAACTAGATTAAAAGGCAAATCACAAAAATATATAGCCTGAATAATACCTATTATAACTGTTATGCGACATTTATATAAGTGCATAAAAGGATTAAGAAATGTAATGCTAGAGCCTAGATCTCACATTGTTTGATTAGTTGTTGTAGTAATGCTAGTGTATCGTATGTAATATTACCCTTATATATGATTTCTATTATGGTGTGGAAAACTTTATATTAGACAAGATTGGCAATGTTATAGCAGCATATTATGCTAAAAATTAAATTTAGGAATACATTTACGTTTTTATTATCACGTGGTCACATATATGATAGAACACCCGGCCAATTTAAATAATTTAAACAATGCCTTTATATATATATACTATATATATATATATATATATATATTAATTTAATATATGTGTATATGTATATGTAATAGGCGGATTATATGTTACCGCCAGTAGTTGACGTCGGTAATAGTGGAGGGTATATATCGAGGGCTGTGCTTACTCGCCACAAAAGCGCTAGTAGTTACTAGCGTCGTCAGGTATGTACTATATATACGTGGGCAGCGCGGACAGTACATTCCAGGGGTACGTATATATATATTATAGTCCGCCCGCTCAGATGATATTATTGTAGCCGTCTGGTAATTTTATTTTTAATTTTGAGCTACAAAATGTATACCTAACGGTGCGTGAATCCGGGTATATATAATTGACAAATATTAATTATGTCACATGATTTATCTATATTTAAAAAGTTACGATAGTTGTAAATGTGAAGTGTCTATGGTGCTCATCTCATTCATTTATCACAACTTTATTTCCTATAAATGGTAGCAACTTATATTTAGATTATGATACTGTAATGATGTTAATTAGTCCTTTTCTAGGCGATCTTGAACGATTTTATTATTCTATTTGTTTTTTATTCTTGATATTAAAAACCAAAACGGTGCAAACAAAATAGAAAAAGTTGTGATTTAGTGTGCGTCATATGTAATTTAGGTTCAGAGACAGGATTGTTAATTTATTTATTGCGCAAATTTATAATATTTAAAAATTAAAGTATGAAGGTTATCACCATTATCTACACAGCATGAATATCAGTATAAGAATTATATTATATATCTAATATTTAAGTAATTAATCATAACCTGGCCGTTAAAATCCCGACTGAACGCTTCAACACTCTAAAGACTTGCATCTAGTAGACATGCATATAAAAGAAATTCATATAATAAACACTAATATACGCTATAATAATATAATTATATATAAAGACATTGACTAATACTCATCTTGGTAAAATACCTGACTCGGTAAACTATTTTTTTCTGGGTGTGCGCTGATGATATCGTGCGCATTCGTTCTCGCGAACAGAAGTGGTAGCTTGGTGGGTAAAGTTGTGGTGTCTCTAGGGGGAGAGGACAGAGATCACTTGGGTTTTGTTAGTTCCAAGAGCAGCCTCATCTGTTTCCGGAAGCCTGGCGCAGTCTGATAGTTTCTTCGGCGGCTTATGTATTGTACCACTACTTGAAACAAAGGAGAAATGAAGAAGGCTCACAAAAAACTAGAAAATACATCACCTATTAATAGTCACGTATATAACTATTTAGTCAACTGAGATTTAGGCGGATATACTTATCTCTTCAACCCGATAAGTAAATTGTTAGCACAAAAAAAGGTCGTAAGGTGCACATCGTAATGATTATCCAATTCCACCTTCCACTCGTCAGAAAGATCTTGTTCGTCACAAGGATACATCTTCATGTCGAAACGTCAGCTATTAGTTTCTACTTCTCTATAGCGCCGCCATATATCTCAGCAAGTCTAAATACTGGCCGAATAGATATGAACATTAATGGTCAACTCCCAGGTGGGATGACCCACGAGCACACCAAATTTCAAACCATAGGCTCGTTCTCTGTTCTCGTCCAGACGCTAACCTGCATCGAGTGCGGAGGTAGCACCAGAACCCCTAAGGAAGCCGTGGGCTTTTAGCGGGGCAGACGTCATGTGTCAGAGATACTAATGCGCACAGGTTGTGCACGGGCGGGATGAGCCAGTGATAGGGGCTTATGCCCTGGGACTTTGCCATTGGGGACCAAAGGGGTCGGGGAGGGCTGGGCATGGGTCATGTGGCATGTGGCCTGTCGTAGGCGCAACCATCTCTTTGGGGTTGCGTCGTATGGCGTCCGATGTTCTCTCTGGTGTAGATTGCGTCATTATGAAAACCTATAGTGGGCTTTTAGAATTAACGGTGGATGATGGTGTGACACTGAAAATGACCTAAATTCTGCCTACATATGAGTAGAAATTTTTCTTGATTAGGAATATTTTCTGACAACTACAATATGAAATATATAAAAATAAAAAGTCATTTTTACAGCAACAAAAGCACATAAGGGCTAAGGAAATAATAATCAATAAAGTCTGAGTGTAATTATAGTATTAAAGAGTACTTTTTCTTCTTAATCTATCATATCCATTTTCTAGGGAATGTCAATGATGTAAACTAAAGCATTAACAATAAATTTAAAATGGTTACAAGTTTCTAATGTTCTAGAAATGCAATAAATAAAAGATAAATTTCAAACATAAAGAATAAATATTCAATTGAATCAATACCTATATACATCCACACTCCGTGCACACTAGGAACAACACAGCACCACCACAGCACAACACAGCAAACAAGCACAAAAGGTACACAAAACCTCCTCTTCTACTCTTACTTTCTGTGTTCTGGGTGGCTTTCTCTTTTGGATGAGTCGAATATATTATAGCCTTCTTATTGTTTACTTGGGTTATGAGCGGCATTTGAGTATTGGTGTTTCTGCTTTACGTCGAGTTACCTCACGCACTAGGTAAATTACAGGAATTTTTTAATTATTAATCTAATGAGGGTTCTTATAATGCATATATAAATCATATTACCATGATCAAATAGCATTTCAGTAATTATCAATATTATCTTTAATTTATAGCATATAAAAATGTATCAAAATAACAATTCTTCAATTCTTACCTTACTTCATAGCACTATGTAGGATTATACCAGTTCCTGTCTCCTGCCATGCCATCACTAAAGATCTCTCTGTCATAAGATTCAACTTGATGCAGGTTCTACTGAAGGTGAAGGTGTCCTCTGGTTAATAAATTAATACGTGCACTTAGAGGAGCGGGCATTAAGATTGGGTCGATACCAGGCAGTGCCATATAACAGTACTTTTAAGTTCCACACCAACCTAATATAATGTATATATCCTTAACCAGTTCATTTCAATTCGTTGACGTCTGGTTGGTGGGTGTGTGGTTGCGGATGTTGTTCCAGGGTGGTTGTACTATGTTAGTGTTTCTGTGTTGTTGGTTGGTTGTGTGTTGGTCTGAGAGTGGTGCGGTGTCGTTGTCTCTTGTATCTCATCTTTCGGTTCCAGAACTATCTTTCACTTCTATTACCAACAATCATGCTTAATCTTCACTCTTTTCACCTCTTAGCACCGCGGTAACCACCTGACTTGATGTTGACAGAGTGCAATCCTACTATTGAGTGGCAAGGGAGTGCTCTTCCTTTCTATTTTCTGACATAAGGCCTAAAGTTTAGTTGTAGCTCTACGTGCCGCTGCTAAGTGTGTCTACATTATGCATTGGCTTGGCAACTTGCTAGTGGTATCCCTACAGACAGTATCGGTGGTGGGACCATGTGTCAAGTCAGAGATTCTTTCTACACGCATTCTGCTGTTATTCATCGGAGGTCTTGGATCAATGAAGTAGTATGGGAGTACAAGATTATTAAGTTATATACTTCTACCGCTGAAGATGGGCCGCGCACCTAACAATTACTGTTGTGGAAGAGACTCTTTTGCTTTAATTAACCTATCAAACTGCATTATCTCGTGACTATCATCAGATAGAGGTTCGTCATTGCTTGCGAGTCTCTACTTATCGGTTTGGGTTCATCAAGACTCGGACACCGTCACCATTTAGATTTCTTTTGGTTGTTGCTCGACAGTTTTTAACTAATGAAAATGTTCCTTCCACATATATGATACTATAAAGATGTCCATAAGTCTCTACGCATTGTTATTGTATCTGGGATCTACTCAAATGTGCTATGCTCTTAATCTCGTCGGCAAAAAATAGCCTATCAGCTACTTTAGGATGTGGTAGCTTCAAGGCTCTTAAGTATGTTCATGAGCCGTGTTGCCCTTTGAGTGGATTCAATATCTGAGCAGTCTATTGTCTACTCTTGGACTGGCAATTCTGGAGTCTTTTCTTCTCTCCTTGTCCAACGCGCGCGTTTAATTACTAAGAACACATTGATTAAATTCAGTTAAGGATAAGGTGGCGAATCCTACGCATCACAGCTGGTTCCGATAATGTGAGATGCATCCATCTTCTTATGGATAATATTATCCTGGGGGTCTCCAACTTTTCGAATTATGTTCTTCTTCTCATGTTGTCTCGCAAGACCGTCAGCAGACGACACTTGGAGCTGCAAAGCCTTAAGGACGCACTTGTAGTGACCATTTAATTGTCTTTTAATAATTACCCTCATTGTGAAAACTCTTAATCTCTTTGTTACAGTACACGTGACTGGTTTAAGGTGTGTATGAGGAAGTAGTATAGTTGTGCACTGTGGAAATCCGTGTTCATAGAACCATATGATTATACAATTCATACTCTGGCATATGGCGGTATCTAATAAGTCGTGGAATATTTTCCTACTAGGAAGTAGTGGATGTAGCAACTTAGATACTGCTTAGCCTAT